ATGATTCCCTTTTCCGCTTCCATCAGATTTCCTCTTTAGTTTGATAATATTTTGCCCTAATTACAATCTGGCCATCCTTTACAATAGGTCAAAAATTATCATAGTTTTTGGAGACTTCAACTGACCGTTCTTTGAGGTTGTAATATTCCTGTTCTGAATCATTTTTACATCGGAAACGTCATGGACATTTCATTCTGTCTGACGTTTGAATCAACGCTCGAATTCTTATTGAAATGAAACGACTTGTTTCCATTTTTTCCTCGCAATCAAAAAGTTTCTCCGACGTGTGCTAAGGTTTCAAAGAATACTAAACTCACTCAGAAAAACAAGGATATGACACATTTGACAACAATTCTTGGTACTTTTGCTGTCGGCGTCTCAAAACGAGTTAAAGAAGAGGAGGTGTGGCTTGCCCTTTATTCGCTAGTTGTAAGCATCATTCTAACATTCAAGCCTCGGTCCTTCACCATGTTCAGCTTTTTCAACGTTCGATGACTTCGTTCTAAGATTGTTTTGAGCTGAAAAACTTTTTATTCTTCAAATTTCTCCAGAAACAGTACTAAAATAATTGCTTTTTTTTTGTAAACGTAAAAAAAGAAAAAAGCACAATGTTTCTTATGCTGCACGGTTTCATCACCTTACCATCTCATCTTTTTGGAATTTGTCCACTTTTTGCGGTCACTGACCACAACTTAGGTACATGGTTTGTTGTTACCAAATGGAACACCTTGTCACGGTGATCGCATTAATGATTCATTTACCCTTGCGTAGTCGTTTTAAATTGTGGTGCGTAAGTGGTGGCAAGGCGGTTTCTTTTGCTGTAATGCAAAGGTTTTGATCCAGTGAATCCGGTTCTGCTTTTCGCTGTAGTTTGCGGCCAAAAGTAGTCACCGCATGTTTCGTCGTTCACTTACAATCGTCGCTTTATTTGGCTGGGTTCACGCAGATTTTTCACCTTCATTCAATGAGTTCTTGAGAAATACCTATGGCGAGGTTAGTTCTTTGCTGTTTTGATGTGACACAGCCCTAAAAATCATGGGAACAGGCTTTCGCCACTCGAATGGCTCGACGAGATATCGGTCCGCATGGCAGCTATGGAGGCGGTGACCATAGGATGGGCTCCAGAACATCGTAATCCTTATTTCTGATGTTTTTCTTTACTTTACAGCCCAATAAGTTTGCTATACAATTGTGTCCACCGTTCAACTTGTACTTTTTCAAAATCTCTGCTTTTTAGGAGACAAGCTGTAGTGTTAGTGCACGGAATCACGAACACTGCTGGAAGATTTGAGGCTACTCGACAACACCTGCTCAAAGTACGCAGTTTCCATAATTTCTAAATATTAATGCATAACCTAATTCCACTCTTTTTTGTAGATCTTTTTGTTTCTGGAAAAAAAGTTAATGTTGAGATGGAAATGAGATCCTTTTCAGAAAGGCTGGAGAGAGTCCGAGGTTTATGCAACGACCTATGGTGATGGTGGAAAAACGCCAGCTCCTCTGTTCGACATGAAGTGCGACTATGTGAAACAAGTCAAGCGTATCACAATATTTTCTTATTGGCTGTTTCACAAAATCCATATCGATTTTTTCTCATTCAACAAAATTCTTCAAAATCACTAATCATTTTGAGTTGTACAATTTCGAATAGGATTGTCTCAAATATTCCATTTTTTTCCGCATTTTTCTATTGATGACTTGGGTAAATGCAATTGAAGCGCTGCAGATTATGGATAGAAACCATAATCTTCG